CTCTGCAGTAAAGCAAACACCTTCCAAAATTCCTTGGAAATTGATTTATGTTGTATATGTCATGTTAGGAGATAATATTTAGAGATGTTAATGGGTTACTCTGACATAATGATTATGATTTATTGCATTCTCGGGATCACTAGATTTCCCTCTAGGTGTTTCTTGTGGTTGGCATTCTCAGTGAGGCCAAAAAACCAAAAACCAAACCCTCTTCCCTCCTTTCAGTAGTGTGGTTTCTGACCATAAAATTTCATACAGTTTAACTCAGGAATTATGGTTTTCTTCCCCACCTCCATGCCCTCTCACTCTCAAAGGTCAATGTGCAACTATTGTCAAGTTCAAAATCTGAGTTCCCAAGCAAAAAATACTACAGTTGCTGACAAAGTTTCTCTTTGCTAATTATCTAATAGATATTTGTCGAGATAAAAAGGAACTTTCAAGAGTCCTTAAGTACTTAAGTGCCACCTATGTGCTCAGTATTTTGCTAGGCACTGGGGGCCAGGGAGGAAAGCAAAGACATATAATTCTTCGTGGCCCTTGTCTTGAGAAGCTTATAATCTACCATCAGTCCCACAGTGCTTTGAATTGTAATATCATGGGTGCAGCTTATCCCTGCCTTCTCATTCTGTGTGTTCTTCATCATCGTCCTACAAATACACTACAGAGTAGAGAGGGTCTACCCAATGTGTCATAGAACTTCCTCTAGTCTTTTAATATGCTGTGGATACTAGTACAACAGCCCAGCTGTCCATCTCTTATCCTTCTTTCACTATATGATTGGCTCTTTTCTTTTTCTAGGCAGATACATCCTTGAGGAAATATGAATGGCTATAATTACGATTAAGTTTAAATGAAACATTTGGAATATTTTAGAACTTACAAATGCATGATACTGAAAAAATGTGATGCAAAACTGAATTAAGCTGATTAATGTTTAGGTTTTTAGATTCTCATCTCATGGAAAACCAAGATCTCAGGGGTATTAAAGTTACAAATAACCTGCAGGGTTACGATGGGCATGAGAAGACTATAGTATATTAACAACAACTTACCCTCAAGGTTTCACATATAGTACACTATTTAGGGTATATCTGTACAAACACCCACATATATGCACATTTCTACACATACATACATGTACATTCTACACATACACGAAAACAATGTGTGCCATGAATAATTATATGCATGTGTATGTGTGTATACATATATGAATATGTATCAAGTTAGTCTGTGAGGGATAGATCCACATGTGTACACACACATACACATATATTTCTATGTTTACATGTGAATATATGTGTGGTTATAGTAGCATATATACGGCACATTGTATATATACATAGACACATGTCTGCATGATTTGCTAGAAAAACAGATGAATTGGTCATGTACCAAGAATGAGAAACAATAGGTAGATAGCCTGATTGGTGCATTGTTATCTCCAAAGCAGTATAGGTCATGAAATAGAGCTGGAAGAGACCTTAGAGGTTATCTAGCCTATCCCCCTTTTGAACATGAGGAGACTAAACCGGAGAGATTAAGTCACTTATCCAAAGTCACAACAGTAGTGACAGAATACAAACTCAGGTCCTCTGATTCAAAGCTTGATGCTCTTTCTATGACCTGGTGGTGAAGGCCTGTCCTGTGTAAGGCATATCTGCCATGGAACATTTATGGAAGCTCAGAAACAAGAATCAAGAAGGCATGGAGGGATGTGCATCTCTGCCTCTATAGGGAATCCACACTGCTGGCTCCAAGAAGCTGTAGCATGCACAGCAGCCACACCCTGGTAAAGCTGACAGGCTGAAAACTAGGTTGAAGGTAGTTGATAAACCTCAAACCTGTTAGTGAGTTAGAGGAGGTGTTTACCCCCAAGTAGGTGAAGACTTCCCTGATGGAAAGGGCAGATGAGAACATTTTGCTCCAACAGACACAAAGGCAGCTGAAGCAGGTGCTATGGAGCTTCTGGAGATCAGACATCAAAGACACCAAGGTCATCCACCGCATCCCAAGCCATCACCAGTCATCTTGACGTTTGTCCTGTCACTGAACTTCAGTGACTCAGTAAGAGAGAGTAAAGCTGATAACTTTGTGCAGTTCTGACTCACTTAAATCCAATTCATGGGCAAATCAAGTTATCACCCATGATGTCATTGATCCTCTTTGAAAATGAAGAATGAACAAAAGCACTGATTACCAATTTTTTTACAAATTACAAATTACAAAATTATAAATCCATCATGGCATCAAGATCCACAGTAGCATTGAAAACATTTATTAAAAATCTGTCTTTACTCTATTTATAACTAGAAGGGACCTTAGAGACCATCTAGAGCAACCGTTCTTCCCACCCCCTCATACACACACACACACACACACACACACACACACACATACATACATACATATGTGTATAAATATGTATCTATAGATATATAGATATAGATGTATGAAACTGAGGCTCTGGGGTAAACATAGATAGGATGTATCAGAGGCAGGATTTGAACCCAGGTCTTCTTGATTCCAAGTTCAGAACTCTCTATGAAATACCTGCTTGAAAAATATTTGTAAATGGTGATGACGGTCATTCCCTTCTTAAGCGTCATGGAGGTGGCCATGGGTTCTTGAAGTCTATGCCACAGAAACATAAAATCTGGCAAATTCTGCTAAGCAAAAAAGGTTTTAAGTATAGGCCTGGTAGCAGACTATGTGTTGTTGTCCAATGACCAGCCTGGCTAAGTTTGGAGAGACCCTTTACCAGATGCTTGGCCACCAGTTAGTGAATTTTCACAGGTGTAGCTATTCATAAAGACTATTCCTGGACTAAGGTATGGAGGGGTTGCCATCTTCACTAGGAAGGAAGTGCCAACACTGATGAAATTGCATATCTTCAAAATATTAAGCAACAAGTATCGATCAAGCCCCTACCAACCGTTAAGCCCTGTGCTGGGTACTAGGAATGAAGATGTAAAGAAAGGAATGATTCATGCCCTCAGGCAGCTTACATTTTAAAAGGAGACAACAACATATAGGAATATATGCAGAATAAATACAAAATACTTAAATACAAAGTGCTTTGAGAGGTTCACGTAGAGAGTGGTGCTTGAGCTGCACCTCAGATGGGATTTTATGAGGCAGATATAAGGAGGGAGAGGGCATTCTAGGCATGGAAGACTCGGGGACAGGCAATGCCAAGACAAAGACAGGGAGGTAGAGTGTGGAGAGACAGAGAGAAGGCCGTGTTGACTGGATCTAAGAGGACAGGAGACAGAGTAATGCACAGTAATCCCTAATAACGACCAATAGCTCAAAGAACTCCTTCACAGAGCTGAAAGAAGAGTTTCAAAAAGACAAAAGTCAACTGTTAGGAAGCTCCATTGGGGAAGTTAGGATAGAGTGCTGGGCCTGGGGTTGGGAAGACTCTTCTTACTGAATTCAAATCTGGCTTTAGACACTTACTAGCTGAGTGATCCGGGACAAGTCATTTAGCCCTCTTTGTCTCAGTTTTCTTATTTGTAAAATGAGCTGGAGAAGGACATGGAAAACCACTCCAGTATCTTTGCCAAGAAAATGCCAACAGAGCCATGAAGAGTTGGTCATGACCAAATACCAACAAAGGAAGCCGCATTTCATTTTGTTGCTTCTTTTCCTTAGCTGTGGGGACAGGTAGATGTTTGATCTGCCTCATCAAGTTATCTATTCTTCCTCCACCACTGTCATTTGTAAGAACAAACATCAAAATCTGTAATAGTTTTAGAAAAAAATGTATCGTATCATTTGGTAGAGGAGAATGAGCTAGAAAGAAGGTATGGCTCCCTCCCATCCAGTCTCTGGAAGGTTTACATTACACAGGATTTAGACAAGGGTACTTACATATGAACCCACAGAAACTCAGGCAATTTTGTCAAAAGTGCAACTTGAAAGCAAGGTAGATTGAGATGGATATCAGTGAACATAAACATTCAAGAAAATTTGGGGGAACCCAAAACACAAGTTTGTATGGACCTGAAATTAAAACTGTGTGAGTGGACCCCAAACAGACATGTTTTGGGTGGACCTGGGGAGCCCCAAATTCTTTGTAGCCATCTCCAGCATTTCTGGAGAGTTACTGTGGCCAGGTAACATTCTGGGTTCAAACAATCTTGAGTCACAGAAAGTTAAATTTAAACAGTATAATAAATTAAGTTTTCTGAACACTATAATAAAGTTTCCACGCCTCCAAGGGGAGAAAGAGGAAGAGAAGGAGACAGACAACCATAAACAGCTCTGATATATCTTGTACCTTCCTGTTTGCCTCATTAAATGTCCTTCCCACAGCCAGAGTCTGCTCTAATTCTTATTTAGCCCTGACTATGTGGGCTAAATAAGAGCACCATAGGATGATAGATTTGGGACTGGATGGGAACTTAGAGGCCACCTTGTCCAACTCCCTCACTTGAGATATGAGAAAACTGAAACCCATTGAGGTGGGGTCACTTGACCAATGACTTCCAGGCAGGAAATGAACTTTCTGGACTTCAGTTTCCTCATCTATAAGGTCCAGGGTAGCTCTAACAATCTTTGATCTCGTGATCTGTAATCTTATGGCAACTAATTGGCTTTTTATCCAAATAATCTTTAAGTTGACTGAATCTAGCCTCCTTTCTTTTTGAATAATCTCCAGTCCTCTACACCACTTTTCTTGTAATTTGTGTTTTCTTTGGGAGATTCCCTATTAAGAACTTATGAAGAAGCATTATCACTCCAAATGTTCACTGAGTGACTACTGTGTGCCTAAGCCTAGGGGTAGATAAGTTAGGCACACCCCTAAGACACAACATAGCAGAGACAGGGAAACAGAGTGAGAGATACTTTTTAAATATTACTTGTTGTGGATGCACATCTTTCGGATGTCAGAAAAATGTTGCTTTCCATGGCATTCAGGCATTTATTTTGTGAAAAGTCAGAGTGCATGGGCAACAATGAGGGTTCAAAGCCGCTGATTGACAGTGGGGCGTGGTACACCATGGGAGGTACATCTTTGAACTTTGTCTCAGGTGGCTTGTCCTGGCTTTGCACATGGCATGATGGTAGCTCCTCCAGGATGTGGGCTGAGAAGGAGGAGGACAGGGCGTGTGCAGGAAGTGGCTAGCCTAATATTGGGAAGGAATGTACAATTTTAGAAAGGTGGAGTCTGAGCAATGCAATGGCTGCCAAATCTCTCAAAAGCTGCATTACTACACAGAGGCCTAAACTCAGGGATTTGATGCTTCCTAAATGTGTGATGACTTACTTTGTAGCAGATGGTGGCCAGCTGTTCTTCATCTCCTGTGAGGACAAAGCATAGGGGGGGAAAGGGATTTGAAATAAAGGGGCCTAAGTCTAAAGGTGAGGAAGATTTTTTTTAAACAATGAGCCAGTAGTCACATATACAAAGTAAAATGAACAATTAAGGCAATTATTAAAAACAACTAAGGCCAAAAAAAGTCTCTTTTACTTTAGCTGGCTGCTTTCTTGGGCATCATCAAGTGTTTTCTAACTACTAAATTGTCCAGGTAGAATCATAACTTGGGCAGGTGAGGGTTGAGGAGGGCTTTTACAAAGGGATGTTTACTTCAAATGTATAGCAAAAATAAGCATGCCAGCATTTCCCGCAAAACCTCAGGGATAGACTCTCCTCTATGCCATCTTGGTCTCTGAGGGGGGTAGGCTTATAGCATAACTCAGTTACTACATTAGCATTAGTCCCACCAAATTCATACCTAAGTGTGTCATGACTGCTGAATGAATTCTTATCTCAGCTTTTGCTGGCCTGGGTCCAAAAGGTCATTGCTAATGATAGTTCTTTGCTGCTTGGGACATTGACACTACACTGGTTCAAGAACCCAGACTCTGGAACATCAGAATGCTGAAACATCCTCCTGACCTTTCAAAATTACAAGGTCATAGGTTCCACTTGCCTTCTCCTAAAAAGGAAAACAATGCAGAGGCCAAGGACCACGGCCTTTCACAGAAGCACAGGACTTCAGAGGGGAGAAGGCCCCCAGTCTTTGCCTCTTGTAACTTGGGTTCTCACTGGAAGCTAGAAGTGGAGTCATTAAGTGAAGCAAAGAAAGCAGAATCGGTGCTTTAAAAAATGCCCTCAATTTCCTTGTTCATGCTGTGGCGCCTTGTTTTGTTGTTGTTGTTGTTTGCCATTATTAGGGATTAGATTCTTTTTGCCTTGGAGAGGCAGTATGGTATAGAGAGAACATTAAACCTGGAATTAGAAGACCTGGGTCCGAATCCCAACTTTGGCAATTAGGAACTGTGTAACTATGAGCAAGACTCTTCCCTACTTTTAACTTCTTTCTTCACCTGTAGAATGGGAATAATAATCCTCTTGCTATCTACCTTAGAGCATCTTGATGAAGAAAGTATTTTGTAAACCTTGAAGTGCTAATAATTATTATTCACTCTGGAAGCTCGAGTCAGTGGGAGGAAGTTGCAGAGAGGCAGATTGTAGTTGGATAGAAGGATAAAACCTGGATAAAAACTGGAGCTGTCCAGAAGCAGAATTGGCTGCCTTGGTGAGGAAAGGCCTCTTAAGCCCCGAAACTCTTCACACAAGAGGCTGGATGACCACTCAAGGAGAGTATATAGCAGATTCCTACTCAGGTAAGGGTTGAATTATGTGATGTTTGAGATCCTTTTCAACCATAAAATGTGATAGGAGGAATCCCCCCACCATGATCAATTCTGCTTCCATCATAACTATTAGAATTGCTGATATATGACTTTCAAAGTGTTTACATTAAAGAATTAGGCATTTAAAAAGCTATCGGACTGACTGTCACTCCTATGGGTAACTCTATTATTTAATAATAATAGTAATGGTATTTATATAGTACCTTAAGGTTTACAAAGTAATTTACAGATTATCTTTTTTATAATAGCAGGTGCTATTATTATCCCCATTTTACAGATGAGGAAACTGAAGAAGTCAGTGGTCAAGTGACTTGCTCAGGGTCACAAAGCTAGTATCTGAGGCCAGGTTTGAACTTGGGCCTTCCTGACTCTAAGTCCAATGTTCTAGCCATTGTTAAAGGCCAAGACAGCTTTTGGAGCCTAGATCAGGGACAAGAGTTTGTTAACACCAAGTAGAGAGCCTCACTAGGAATCTTACAGTTAGGGCTGCCAGTCATAATCTCAACCAAATATTTTCAAATGCTCTTTACCAAATCTTCCTGTTCCCATGACAATATAAAGAAGAGGACTAGGAACAGTCACTGTATAGTGGTTCTGATATTACTGTTTTGTCTAGCAAGAGCTGGTTAATTAATTACACTTCAATTTGTGCAGTTAAGAATAGGACGGGGGTTCTTAACTTTTCGTGTGACATGGAACCCTTTGGCAGTCTGGTGAAACCCATGACCCACTTCTCAGAATAATGATTTTAGGTACATTTTAAAAATATACAGGATTACAAAATAAACCAGTTATATTGGTTTTTAATTTTTAAATTTCATGTTTTATTTTCAGTTCTGAAATCTTGTCCTCCCCCCTCCCCACCCATTGAGAAGACTAGAAAAACAAAACATATTACATATATGTATAATCACACACAAAATTCCTTCTATGCCCATGCAAAGAAAGAAGGAAGCAAGGAAGGAAAGAAAGAAGGAAGGAAGGGCACAAAAGAGAAGAAAAGATGCTTCCTTTGGAATTTGGAAAATATGTGCTCTTTGGAATTGTGGTTGGTCATTGTATTGCTTAGAGTTACTAAGTCTTTCAAAATTGATTATCTTCATAATAGTGCTATTGCTGTATAAATTGTCCTCCTGGTTCTGCTAACTTCACTTTGTATCATTTCATACAAGTCTTGCCAGCCTTTTCTGAAACTCTCCCCTTCATCATTTCTTATAGCACAATAATATTCCATCACCGTCAATATACCATAACTTGTCCAGCCATTCCACAATTGATGACAATAACCTCAATTCTTTGACACCACAAAAATTGCTGCTATATTTTTGTACATATAGGTCCTTTTCCTCTTTCTTTGATCTCTTTGGGTTATAGACCTAGTAGCAGTATTACTGGGTCAAAGAGTATGCAGAATTTAATAGCTTTTGGGGTAAAATCCCAAATTGCTTCCCAGAATGAAACCAATTATAGCAAAATAAAGTTACCCAAATATTTAAGAACAAATTCTAGGGTAAGAACCACTGAAGTATGATTTTAACTAGAAATTATATTTAAGAATGACTTCTTCTTAACCATATAACAGTAATTAGAGCAATTGACCAAGAGTCTGAAGGCCTAAATTCAAATCTAGCCTCAGACACTTAACTAACTGTGTGTCCATTACTTGGACTTCCACGTGAAGATAAGCAGAAGGAAAGGCGGCCAGCAGCGTGTTGGAAAATATGGTTGCAGATTAAGAAATGAAAGAAGCTGAAGATTTGTGGACCACTCACAAACCTCTCACCTATGTTATTGTGAGGTGTCAGAAGTTCCAGTTGAATATGGAAAGCAGTGAACAGTATCACACCAAAAAATAAAACTGGGATCTCTTAACAAACCAGAAATGACTGATTGGTCCTTTTGGAACCAGCAAAGGTCAAAAATCACCTCCAAATGAGAAGAAAAGGTAAAGATTTCATTTGTTATCAGAAGAAGGACCAGCATGGACTAAGAAATCAGGGAAATTCCTTAGTGGAGGAATTACTGATTAGCAGGCAGGGGAGGAGGTTAGTCCAGAGATAAATGAAGAGAAAATGCAATCCAAAAGCCAAATTCACTGAGGACTATTTTCCAAGGCATCATTATCACCTCACAAAATATCAAAAAGCATTGGAGGAAAAAATGAGCCTGCAGAAAGCTTGTTGTGAGAACCATACAAACCAGACTATTTCAAGAGCCTCTATAGGTGATATGGAAGGGTGGTAACAAATCAACATGAAATGGAACAGATTTGTCAGGCTCTCTATTGATCTAGTCTCACCACTGATGAGAGTTGGAATGACCACATTTGGACTCAGTCATCTCAGCATCCATATTTTATGTGAAGAAATGGAAATTACATTCAAGAATAAAAGTTGGGAAGTGACTGGAGTTGAACAAATAAATGCAGAAGAAATCCTTGATGCAGGTGGCACAAGTTCAAAGGCAGTGGGAAATTGATTTTCAAGATATTTCAAAAGGGAAGATTCCAAAATAATAGAAATGGTCACAGACAGCATATTTACTACAACGGTGAACAAAAATGCATTAAGAACTGTTAAGATATATGCCTGTTTCCTCCTTCCTACAAGACATTTATGAGGATCAGCTAGGTTTGTATTGAGGGTGAAATATTAGAAAGGAACAGGCAGCTTACTATAAACTATATTTTCCATAGTCACACAAGGTATAAAAAAATAAAAAAATCCTGAAGTATTTATAATTTGTTAGTTTTTAAAAAAAAACTACATTTGACTCAGTAGAGCTGATTACTGCTTAAAGGTTCTCTTCAAAGATGTTGACCATATCCATGCTAACATTATTAAATGTTGTCATTGGTAGATGAAACCGCAAAGATGACTTTGATCAATATTCCTTTGAATACTAATATCAAGCAAGACAGGAAACAGAGAAAGATGCTTGCCAAAGGTGTTTGACAGTGCCATGGAGGATATTTTGTGCAAAGTCCAAATGGAAAAAGGATTTCCTGTAAATGGTGGAATTCTCCAGATGTTCTTGTTTGCTGATGATATTGTGCTTATTGCACTTAGCCCCGGAATACTACAGGGCTTCCTCAATTAGATCCATGACAACTCAAGATCTATTGGACTAATAGTCATCCACACAGTTAAAAAGCAACAACAATAACAAATGGATGAAGACTACATACTGCCCAGATTATCACGTGTAATTGGATAGAGAGACCATTCATTTAGTCCATTAGTACATGTACCTTTGGACAAGGCACTGAAGCTGAAAAGTAAGCTGAACCCAGAATTGACTAGGAGGAAGAGCTACAGCTGGATTGAATTTGAGAAACTGTGAAGTGCTTTCAACAGTTCCAAGGTGCTCCCTATCAACAAAGCCCATCATTTTTTGTTTGTTTGTTTGCATCATTATTCTACTAGTGGTACTATATGACTATGAATTACAGAATACCATGACCTCAGAGGAATTAAGTTACATGTGATACAAAGGGCAATGGAAAGATGTATAGTGTGTGTGTGTGTGTGTGTGTGTGTGTGTGTGCATATGTGTATATATATATATATGTATATATATATATGTATATATATACATATATATGTATATATGTATATATATATATATATATATATATATATATATATATATATATATATATATATATAAAAATAGTATATCACCAGTGATGACTTCCATGCATGAAGGGAAAAAAGCCTCTTCCTTCTATCCGTGAGTTATTCAAAGAAGACCTTGAGTATGCTGGGTAGTTCCTTTATGGAGGATTCATGAAGGATCTGGATGTGACTCATACAGGATGTGAAGGCATGGATAGGTTATGATCTCTACCATTGGAAGGGGTGCGCATTTGAATGATATTAAGGATATGTAAGCAAATACGATTTGAGGGGGAAATTGGTTAGTCACCTGGTCTTAATGAGGTCAGGAAAAGCAAGGTTTTAAGATTCTTATCTCGACCCTTCAAATGATTCTTTGGATGATTCTTAAAGAAGCTGAATTACTCCTCTACCTCTCCATTTCATTAAATATAAAATTAAGGTAATATTGAGGTCCCACAGAAAGCCTTTCCTGATTTCCTTGATCAGTAGCATTGTAAGCTCCTTGAGGGCAGGGACTACTTTTCATTTGTTTTGGTATCCCTACTGCCTGTCACGTAGTATGTGCTTAATAAAATGCTTGTTGTCAGATTTGTGGAAGGTACTACAACTGAAATTTTAAGAGGCTTAGATGGCAGTCATGTAGTCTACAAATAGACTTGTAGAATGTTAAGAACTAAGTCTTCAAGCAGAAAACGAATACCAGTTCTCATGTGTCTTCCAGTCAAAGAGAGTGATTACGGCTTATGTTTAATATAGATCTACCAAAATTGAAAATCATGGCAACAATTGCTGAGAAAAGGCATAGATAGGAAAGTCTAATTTTAAAAGCATTTCACCTAGAAGGGCAATAAATGGTAATAAGAGAGCCGAAATAAATTGTGAGAAAACTTAATGCACTGCATGACCCATTTGAAAGGGTGAAGTTAAAACGCTATCAGGCTGTCACCACCAAAACAACCAAAACCCAAAGCCTTTGAAATCCTATTATTGGCTCAGAGCTATACAAGGATCCCATATTAGAAGGAACAGATAATTTGTATACCTCTGAGCACAAAATTTCAAATTGGAAGAAGAATAAAACCAGCATGGTTAGGGAATGATCTCATATAGATGGGGCTTTGAAAGGTATCTTTTAAAAGGTGCAAATCCTGTCCAGACAACCTAAAAATGTGAGAGCACATTGCCTTGGATGAGGCATAAAAAATTGGACATTTAAGGGGAATGGAAACAATGTGCAAAGCTCATAGAAGAGCTATGTAAACTACATAACCTCTTCATCTTCTCTCTCCTTGCCCCATTCACAGCAATTAGAGTAGCATTTCTAAAACTGTGTTTATGGAACCCTGGTGTTCTGCCATAGGCAAATAAAGGTTCCATCGGAAAATTGCAATGCTGGTTATATTTTCCTCTCTAAAATATTAAATGTAAAAGTATTTATATATAAAAATACTTATTGCATATGACAATTTTCTGATCATGGAAAAACAGGCTTAATTTCCTCAATTTTCTTCTAAAATTTTTTGAACTTCTGTTTATCCCAGAGAGTTTTCCATATATTTATGGAGTTTGTCAGCATATTACAAGGCCCAAAGGTTTCAGGATCAAAAAAATTTAGGAAATACTGAGTTAGAGAAGCATTTAAGAAAAATAGAAAGAGTCAAATTGATTATTTCCCATAGAAAACAATCCAGGATATCCTTCCCACCATGTTATAACAACCAAAGGGCAGCATAATGCAGACCACCTTGTATTAACCAAAATCCATCTACTCCCAAAACATTTTCCCTCCATTTTAAATGAGTTCAGTGCCTGATTTAGTGTTTCTCTCTCCATCCCAATTCATGTTATCATATGAGGGTACTTAATGTTCATGTTGATGTTCTCTCAAACATCCTAACCTCTAAGTTACTCTGTCTGTTCAACTCTCCCAAACTACTTCTTAATGCCACCTTGGTTATGCATGAAGATGCCAACATCCTTGATCTTACCATCACCCATAAATGCTCTACTTCATGATCAAGAACTTAGAAATTCCTTTATCTGGTCAATATCCTGTTATTCCATCTCTGCCCATGCCTTCCACTTTCTAAACACATTCTTCATCCTCATTATTACCTGTAATCTCTCCTACAATCTCTCAGAACTTTACCAGGCTATCACTCTTGCTCTACCCACACTCCATTCCCTTCCCAATCTCAACACTTTTGTGAATCCAGGTTAACCCTATACTATGTCCCATAAGTCACCTCTACAACACCTTTCACATCCATCCTCTTCTCTCTACTCACACAGCCACAGTCCTAATTCAGGCTCTCATCATCTCTTGACCTTTGCATGCTTTCATGCAATTGCAATAATGTCATAGCTGATCTTCCTGCCCCAAGTCTCTCCCCACTCCAGTCCATCCTCCATTCAACTGCCAAAGTGATTTCCCTAAAGGTGCACATTTGAAACTATCACCACCTTCTACGTCTTCTTACCTCTACTATCCAGTATCTTCTGTTTGGCATTTACATTTCTTCACAACCTAGCTCCTTCCTTTCCTACGTTCTTGCATATTACTTTCCTTCCTCACACTCTGCAATTCAGTCACACTGGCCAATTCCATGTTCTATGCTTAGGACATTCTAATTCTTGTCTCAGTGTCTTTGCACTGGGTTCTGCCATGCCTGGAAAGCACTAACTCCTCATCTCTAAGGCTTGGAATCCTTGGTTTCCTTCTAATCTAAGCTCAAGTCTCCCCATCTGAATGAAACCTTTCCCAATCTCCCTAGCTGCTTGTACAGTCTCTCCTCAAACTACCTTTTATTTATTTTACATGGAACTGGAGATTGAAGAGGGCGTGTACAGAACTACCCTACCTTATTCCAGCACACCTTGACTATCACAGTGCTTAAGTGCTTTGAGGATTACAAAGCCTCTAGCTGCTTTTAGCCAACTGTGAGTCAGCACTCAATGGTACTTGAGAATGATGAAATAATCCCCTCATTGGTGACCTGGCAGGAAAAGCCAGTGCCTCAGTGAATCTTTACAGTGAATGACCTGCCCTCATGTGAACTCTCTTCTATTTTTCATTCTGACTGCAGAATGTGTGAGTTCCCCTCAAACCTTTCCTCTGAAATTCAAAAGTTCATCCGTCGGGTCAAGGGTAGGAGAGAGAGAACTCTGTCCTCTCCTCCCCACTAAGACAGAGGTTAATTGACTTGCCTAGAGTCACACAGCTAGTAAGTGTCTAAGGCTTGTTTTTAACTTGGGTCTTCCTGACTCTAGGCTCAGTTATTTGTCCACTGTGCCACCCAACTGCCTCAAGAAGGCCTGGAAGTCTGCCACGATTGGCCTTGTGACCCACCTTAGGTCATTGGGCCTCTCTGGGCCTCAGTTTCCCCATATCAAATGAGGATAACAGTATTTTTATTACCTACATCATGGCTATGGGGATGGGATGAGATAGAAAGTGATTAGACTGCCTCAAGAAATAGCAGATATTCTCTCAAAGACTAAAAGATCACATATCTGGTATGCATAAATGGGATTTTTCTCTTGGCATGCATTGGAGTATAGCTCTTAAACAGCTCTTAAATTCTGTGATCTGTGATCCTGGTTTATAAACTTTATGGCATAGAAATATCAGCTATTAATACCTCCCACCAAAAGAAAAATAACCTACTCTGTGATTTCATTGGTGTGGGTATTTAATAGGTTTCCTGATAACCAACATAAGCCCAATTTCCACTCTTTTATTCATCAAAAGCACAAATCTTTGACTCCACCCCCAGAAAAAATTTCCTCTACCTCCTCATATTTCTTAATTTGTTTAGCAGCTGCATCCCTTTGCCTTGATCACATTCTACATTGTGTCATGCTGACTTTTATACAGCACGTTCTAATGGAAAGAATGGTGGGCTTTGGAGCACAAGACCTCAGTTGGAATCTTGGTTCTGTTTGACCATGAAAATATCACTTAAACTTGCCAAGCCTCAGTTTCATTATCAGTAAAATGGTGGTGATAACACATTCACTAATTACTTCAGAGAATTATTGTCAGTGAAGCACATCTTAAAGCACTCTATAAAAGCAGTGTGGTACAGCAAAAGAACATTGACTCTGGAGTTAGGAGTAACACCTGGGTTCATCTTTTTATTCTGGACCTTAGTTTCCTCACCTGTAAAATGGAGTCAATGGCCTCTGAGGTTGCTTTAGCTCTAAATCTATGCTTCTGTGTGAGTTAGTATTATTATACCATCTATCCCCACCCCCTTATTAGTTTGTGACTTGAACTCAGGGACAGTGATTGTTTTTTTCATTTTTGTATTTCTGGAGAGTGCTAAAAGAAACATTTGTGGAATTGAGTTAGTTTGACTGTCAATGACTTTAACCAACTGCCCTTTTTATTTCTTTTGCACATTTTGTACATTTTGTTCTAACATAACCACTTTCCAGTGTTTGATTGCCACCTCTTTCCCTCTCTTTTGAGGGAAAGAAATGTAACTAAACAAAATCATTTAACGTTAACTATCAAGACTGCCAGTTCTGCCCTCTCCTATAGTTTAACATTCTAACCACTCTTTTAAAAGATATTTAGATCAAATTTAAAAATAAATTGATGTCTGTAGTGCCATTAGCAGGTTTTTTTCATAAATAGTCAATTCTTTCTTCACTAACAAGCCTGCCCGAGTCTTCCTGGTGGCTCATTCATAACCTTTGTGCTGACTCAACGTCAAAGTGCCCTAACATGCTTATCTCTCAATGAAGATGGTTTTCTCAACCACAGATGATCTTTTCACTTGCCTAAGCTTGTCAACAGCAATATGCAGGAAAGGCCTTTATGACCAGTCTCTATGAACTTGAAGTTCCTATTTCCTTTCTCTATCTGTGGTAGAAGAGAATGAAAAATTCACATAGACTGTCTACAGTTGTTTTAAAGGCCCTATGACTACTTTTCTCCCAGTTACAAGGGTAATTTTTTTTCGCTTCTATCCTTCAGCTATTTTACTATTTTAACCAGAGTTGGGTATAGTTTGTTTGAAACATAATAGGATATTTCTCTTTCCATTCCTTTTTCTGTCAATGCTCCATCTCAAAATGTCCTCCAAAGATTTAGATACCTGTTTCTAAGACTTATGATGGAACATTATGAACAGTAATTTTAAACAGAAATCAAATGGGATTTTTGGACAGAGACATACACTAATCTCACTATAAGGGCAATGATTTGCATGTTTAGACAAGGTAGCAACAGGGGAAATAGATCAGCTCAGACCCCTGCAGCTTTTCCTCCAAATTCCAAACTAATAACCCTATTAGGGAATGCAACATAGAAATGAGTCTTTACATTTCCCTAAATTATCCAGGCTCCCATGACTGATTTTTCCCATAGATAAACTTATTGATTTATTGATTGCCTCCACCAGATCCTCTGCCAGTTCAGTCTATGAGAACAGGTCCAGAAAGGAAATTACATGTGCTCATTCTTTTGGTCATCTCCTGACTATAAGGCTCAGTAAAGCACTCCAACTAAACTACAAAACAAGATGTATTTTAACTATTTGGCTTGGGTCCCTTCAGGTAAGACATGGCCCTGAAGCCCCTAGGATGTCCTACATATCTAGGTCTCCTTTGCTGGAACATCTACTAATACTGTACAGAAGGAGGGAAATAATGAAGAACATTTTTATTATTACCCAATTGCTTTAGAAACTTTATGTTTCCTGGGCAGTTTGATGACCTCACTTCTTTTCAGGTATTGTAACCTGATTCTTCTGGAGCAGAAGGCCCCCGAGCATGAATCGGATTAGCATCTCTAAATAAACAATATAGTAAAGTCCATAATTAATTTCTCAGGGCACATTAGCCCATGTGTATACATATCCTCCTCACTTGGAAATTAGAAACTGCTGACCTCTACCACAAACCAGTTAGGACAGTCTGACATAGTCTCCTGGAGTCAGAAGGGGGTCTTAGAGGCTGTTTAGTTCAACATATCTTTATAGATGAGGGTTCTGACTCTGTTTTAAAAAACAAACAAGCAAACAACTCCTTTTCAGATCTGACACCAGGGACTTTTTCTTCTACATCTGGTGTATTCCACATAGTGTGCAAAGTAGGTGCTCAGGAAATATTTTATTATCACCAGCAACAATTATGAGAATCTACTATGTGCAAGGCTCAAATGATTGATGTACAAGTCCATGTAATGTCACGGTCTAGTGGGACTGGATACCAGGTAATCAATCAATAAATGTTTATTAAGCACTTACTACATGTCAGGCACTGTACTAAGGGCTGAGAATAAAAGTAACAAAGAATGCAAAAATACATATTCACAAGGAACTTACATTCTAATGGAAGAGACAAGTACATCCTAAATATTAAAGTTAATACAAATATTTACAGAGTAGTTACATGCAAGGTAATTTAATAGGGAGGACATTAGCAGTTGGAATCGGGAAAGACTTCCTTCAGAATGCAGTGCTTGAAGCTGTGCCTTGAAGGAAGAGATTGAAGAGCCAAGGTAAGGAGGATGTAGAACAGCTAGGAGGTGCAGTGCATAGAATGCCAGGCCTGGAGTCAAGAAGACTCATCTTCCTGAGTTCAAATCCAGCTTCAGACACTTACTAGCTGTGTGGCCCTGGGCAAGTCACTTATCCTTATTTGCCTCTGTGTCCTCATCTGTAAGATGAGCTGGAGAAAGAAATGGCAAACTACTCCAGTATTTTTGCCAAGAAAACCTCAAATGGGGTCACAAACAGTCAAACACAACTGAACAACAACAGCAAAAAAGGGAGTATGTTCCAGGAGTCTGGGGTGGCCAGTGCAAATGCAGAGAAATGGAGATGGAGTGTCATACTCTAGCTTCCAGTCTCAATCTAACTACTGACTTTGCATGCCTCAGGCATTCTGTGCTTGGGTTTTCTGTCACACACCCCACCTCCTTCCCCATATACTTTTTCACACATCCATTCCCACTGGAGATACTTACCTTTCCACCATCCCCAAAATCAGATCAGGCCAGGCTGTGACAGGGAAACCATACTGAGCTATAACAGTGGGGAGCTAGAGATGAGGCAGGGCAAGGGAATCTGTGCTGATGTCATTCCTGCTGAGGAGGGGCAGAGGCCGACAGCTGGCTTCCACTGCTCCTCCTCCACTCCCGTAGGCTCCAAAAGCCATCTGTCTCAGTAGGCCATTGGGCAGTGGCCCAGATGCCCTGTGGCTTTGCCCAAGCCTACCCACTAGAGTCTCTGCACTAGAATGTGCCTTGCCATTTCCTCACAAAGGTGGAAGTTGGGATATCTTAGAGGCTGAAAGGGTTCCCAGGATCTCTGAATACAAATGTTTCCAAGGAGCCTGGCAACAAACAAATTAAACTTCTAAAAAAATCTCCTAGGTCTGAGCTAAAAGGTTAAAAGTATTAAGTACTAACCAAATATCTCTCAGGAGAATGATATGAGAGTGGTAACGAAATAGGTTTTTACAACTTTTATTTAAATGGAAGAAGCTCTCTATTTGAGTATAACCCAAAGGTAACAGATTAGGGATGTGTGTGTGTGCACGCGTGCGTGTTTGCATGTATGCATGTGTGTGTGTGTGTGTGTGTGACAGAGAGAGAGATGGTAGAAAAATCTTTTTGGCAAGGAAATACAGCTCATTTTTAAGCTTCTAAGGGGTTAAATTTATTATATATGGCAGCAAAGAGGAAAGGAGGAAAACATCTTCGAATTTCTTTTTTAAAGAAAAAAATGATGGCTAGGTTTCTTAAAGTGATATGTTCAAGAAGTTTTGTTTTTGTTTTTGTTTTTAAAGAAAAATGGAAAAACTCTTTAAATTATTCTTTGAATTAAAAATAAAAACTGACCTGAAAATTCAGAAGTATACCAAAACAAGTCTGTAAAACAAGAGAACTGAAATATTGATATCATGAAAATAAATGTATTTACACGAAGTATTATTCCTTAAATGTAGGTACTGTTTTGCAGATAGTGCTGGTTGTATTATGACAGTCTGCATACATTCTGCATTGCCTACATATTGCTTCCAAAGGTCATTGAAAATATGCACAATAAAGTTAAAAATTATTTTGAAAATAGTAATACTGTAGCATTATAAAATTATAACTTGCAGAGCTCGTTCCTATCTTTACTGATAGACATAGAGGGAATTTTCTTATAGGGAGTTCCAACATTAGTGAAATCATAGGTCTGGTTCCCTACCTGCCACAAAAGAAATGCAGTACCATCTACTTTGTTTCTTCCTTCTGTCCTTCCTTTCTTCCTTCCACCTAGCCACCTAAGGCTAGAAGTTCTGCTCTAGACTTTTGACCTGCTCCATTTCCTACTTGAGACAATTGACTCCTCCTTAGGCAACCAGGTATCCCATACTCCCAAGAGGCCTATTGTATTAATGCTCAACTTAGTGTGAATACCTAATTGGCATAGACCATTACCTCAGCACTCCAGAGGATAACAATCAGGTGGCCTCAGTCTCCCAAGTAGTGTGATTTACCACCACCATTTTCAGTGTTTTCTTTTAATATATAAGCTGCTAGCATCTAACTTGAGGCACGAATGATTTAGTTTTGCATTCAAAAGAAGCTATTATCTAGTATTTCAAAATTGCATATTAAATATCAAATCCAATAAAATCATACCTAGCAGAATAACAAAATTAGGTAATTTGGGGAAAGGATCCAGATCTGTGATTTCATGAGAATCAGAACTCCTGATGAAAAATCCCTGTAGTAAGGCAAGCTAGCAACTGCTCTGCAATTTATAATCATGGAGAGTTGCCTGGGGCAGGAAGAAGTTAAGTGACTTGCTCAGGGGCACCAGTAATCATTTTGTGCTGGCTGGACTAGATCCTGTTTCATTCTGACTCTGAAGCAAATGCTCTCTCTGATATGTTGTACTGCCTCTCCCACAACTAAAAGCTAAATGAAACATTACAGCAAAATCTCAAGGACATGGGAAGTATAAACCACAGATTTCTACTTACCCACTGTAACATTACCATCTTTGAAGTAATACATGACACATTATTATTGGTATGCCGAAGAGTTTCACTAATAATAAACAGACCATAGAGTGTTATTGTGTCCTTCATAGTTGTATTTCACTGCATTCAAAGACCCTGAAGCATGTACCTAATTGTTCTCTTTGCCTCATAGGTACTATTACTTGGCATTCAGAGCACATCAGTCACCACTTGCTAACAAAGAAAGTTGCGTTGCTATCTTGGAAAAGTCCAAACTAGACCACTGGGTGTTGGGGAAAACAAAGGTAATTTTTATCTTTGCTTTTAGGCATATCAGTCACCATCACGTCATAAATGTTTGCCTCTGTTCTCTGAAGGTTCTGTTAAATAAATGATCTGAATGACTCTGTGCCCCGCCCCCACTTAGTAAGTAGCATCTTAATTTAGAAGAGACTTCTGGTGCCTTTGGTCAAGTATGGCAGGACCTTAAAGGGGAGAGACTAAAGCTTCCTTCCGGTTAGTTGCACGGCCTCTCTGGCTGGGGCTGTTTCCTTTTTTTTTGTCTTTATATCCCCATTGCCTTGAATATAATCAGTATTTAATATTTATTAAGTATATAAATTGAATTGAATTGAATATGGAGTTATAAAGCAGTTGGATATTTTTTAAATGTCTTTTCCTTTTTTTTCATGCTCCTGCCTATGCCCTGCCTTTATTGGACATGTCATTAAAATCAATGACAGTGATCAAACTATTTTTTAAAAATCTGAATTTGGATAGAAGGAACATGTAGCTACATTATGTATAGGTGTTATATATGCAGTAACTAAGTGCCCTCAATGTATTTCATCTTTGGTAATTATTCCATTTGGTGTTACTATCTCTTTCATATGAAATAAAATCTTTAAATTGCCAACCACAAACTGGACCAGGAATCCAGCTTGAACATAAGTATTGAAATGCTCTTGTTATTATTATTCAGGGTTCTGAAGAGCTCATTTGTGGACTACACAGGTCCCTTCCTTCTCCCTTCTTTTTTCTACTGGCCTCTAAGCTGCTTCTGTTTGTTAGCATTTCCAGCAGAGGGTGTACAGGGTCAGAGAGATGAGATAAAACCTCAAAGCTGGTAGTAGCTCAGGTAAAAGCTGTAGCAGGAGAGAAAATCAAAGTTATTGGCTGAACAGAAGCTCAGGGGTTATCTTTTGATTTCCTTTGTCATATTATACCTGCTTCCTGTTACTGCACATATTAGAAGATAAATTGTCCTTTACAAATGGAGTGTATTAGAATAAGCTATACAAGTCACCTATGTAATGAGAATAATGAAAATAAGGGAGTAACTTACTATTACTCACTGTGGCAATACCTACATTTCACAGGTTAAACTAATGACAGGTTGCTTTGGCTTCCCCCTCCCAGCCACAGATGATTATTTGTTTGATTTCTGATTGTACTGATTACAATGCAGCAATGACTTCCTGGTGATGAAGCTATTCATATTTCTATTTAGAATATTGTGTCTAGAGTGTCATGCCTATGTGCGTATAATACAGTGCTTAGCAGAGTGCCTGGCACATAGCTCCTTTTTAAAAAAATTTTTTTAATTAAAAAAATTTCACACAGCTTCTTAAAAAATGCTTGTTGCCTTGACTAATACTGAAATTGTTGTTTGTTTCAGGTTTTTCTCAAGTATTACCATGTAGAGCAGTTAAATTTGCTGCTTCGAGAAGTTATAGGCACAGTGGTGGTCATACAGGCTTATGCCAAGGGGTGGCTTGGAGCTAGGAGATATAAGCGAGTTAAAGAGAACAGAGAAAAATGTGCCGTTACCATCCAGGCAGGTAAATGTGCTCATTACCTCTCTCCTATACTGGGTTGGCATTTCAAGTTGTGAAGTTGTCTGCTAATCACCTAGAGCTTGGCCTAATAGTGCAATCAGAGTAATAGCCCTCAATATCTTTTTCTATCCCTACCTAAAAGAGACACATTTCAGAATCATCACCAAATTATCTACTGTGGAATCGGGGCAAGGTCCTGGCTTCAATGTTTTTACCCTTATGGACAATACTAGGTTCTCCACCCATCGATGGAAGAAATGTATTAGTCATGCAGATCTTTCAATCCATTCCAACTCATCTCCTTTTTAATGTAGAATGAAAGCCTCTCATGGGAGGGGGAAAGAAACAGATAGAGACAGAGACAGAGTGAGAGGGACAGAGAAGGACAGAGAGAGAGAGAGAGAAACAGAGAGAAAAAGAGAGAGAAAGACAGACAGAGAGAGAATATTTATTAAGTTCACTACGTGCAAGGTGCTAGAAATACAAATACAAACAAAAAGAAAGACTGCCCCTGTCTTCAAGGAATACCACCCATAAAAGGGAACTGAAATGGGGAGTGGGTGGGAAGAACATATCTTTTATTAAGGAGATTGGGACCTCCAAGGTGGGGGGGGCAGTCCGAGGAGTCATGGGCTGGTCTAAATTTGAAAAGAGCAATGATGGGTAATGTGGGTGTTTTTTAAAATGGAGATATCCCCAGCACCTAGCATGATGCCTGGCAAATGGTGGTTAAAACATGCTTCTTGAATGAAATTGAGTATTTTTTCATTAATGTATTTGATAGTATTTGAGTGAATGGGTTTTTGTTGTTATTGTTATTATTATGGATAGTTTTCCTCATTCCTAGGGGAAAAAGTGCTGGGCTCAGGACATATATTTCTATTGTTATTATGCCCAAAGCACTTTACTCTACCCAGGATTCCATTATTGAGCAACTTGGAACCATTAATTGTGATAGTTATAAAGATGAGTGCTTAAATTGGGAAGGAGCTGTTCCCCACCTTCTTTTTAGGCATTAATTCTACTCCCTGATGGCTAGAAAATGCAAATTACCCTTTTTCAAATCCCTCCCTTTTCCATTTTCTCCCAGATCTTTCCTCATTCTCTCTCCTTTCCCATTTTCTCCAACTTCCTTTTCTTCTCTCCCATTATTTTCTTCCCTATGTTTCTCTTTCCCTTAGCTTTCCTTTTTGTCCCACTTTTCCCAAATCCAAAGGGACAAAAGAGGATTACTCCAGTACCTCAGTGCTAAACCTCCACCAACCCCAAGTCCTAAAGACTCCTTGTGTGATAGATTGTATGATAAGAGATCTTGGTACCTCCAATCTCATCCCCACGTGATGAGATAGATGTCTAGATCTCTCCAAGTGACTGGAGTCATTTACTTTCTCAACCCAGTTGCATGGAAGAGGAAGCTTCAGGGAGGAATCTGAAAATGGAAGATTACAGAGGTTAGCACAGCCTCTCCATGAAGATGGCATATAATATTATAAAACATTCCCATATTTTTTTAACCACAAGGTAGAATTCTAGGAACAAGGAACTCATTAGAACTGATGACAATGTAAAAGGGAAGAGCATCAATAAAAAAGGAGAGAGAGAAGAAAATGTAAGAGGAAAAGAGAATGGAGCGAGGTAAAAGATTAAAAAAAAACCCAGCCAATCTCAACAGTATAGCACTTTCTTAAATTAATGTCATTCCCAGCACATGGTTTTGTATTTTTAGCCTGGAGAGGATATGATGCTCGCAGGAAGTTTAAGAAAATAAGCAACAGAAGAAGTGAGGCTGCTGTTCATATTCAAGCAGGTAATTAAAACATCATTTGCATGGTTCCACTTCCTATACTGAAATTCAAGGCAGAATTCAATATTGGTGCTTTGGCCAGAGGGTCACAGGATTTAGAGATGGGAAGAGTCCACAGAGACCATTTAATGTACAGCACCCTTCTCTGCCCCATGTCATAGATTCTCTCCCTTAGCAGCTCCTTCCCTCTGTCACAAAGGCAGAAAAAATGGGGGGGGGGGAGAAGGGATTTCTTAACAAGATGAATCCCTGAAAGCCCAGCTCTCATAGTTGAAACTCTGGCTCATTTCACTACTGTATACTAACTCCTCTGGGCTCTCAGAGGGTTAAGTATGACATGCCTTTGGTGGCACAGCTTGGCTGGGGCTGCCTGGGAAGAGCCAACCCTGGCTGCTGGGCTCATCCATCCCATCCCTGGCTGTTGTCATTTTGATCTTCTACAAAACATCGGTGCCTAATGCTGCTGTTAAGGCTGTTCCTGCCAGATTGGTCTCTTTCCCTAAGTCTCTAAGCACTTCTCTTCATCTAAAGCTGACTATGTGTAATTGAGGGTCTTGAAGAAATAGGCCCTAGAGTACTACTGGAGTCTCCTAGAGAGCAGGAAATTAGAGACTGAATGGAACATAAGTGACCAGTACAGTGAAGTCAGCAGCGGCAGTAAGGGATATTATTTTAGCTATTATCAGCCTGAAGCAAAATTGAAAAGCAACAAAAAATATCTTATGGTATCTCTGCCTAGAATCCAGGCAAGATAAAGTTCAAGATCCCAAGAAAGCTCTGTCTCTGGCCCAGGAAGTCTCCCACCATAGAACCATTGCTTCAGTGAGACCCTTCTATGTTCTATTTGACTTCTTGACATCTTCATTCACAATGAAAATATTTGGAGTCGGGAATAATTTAAAAGTAAATTTGTAATTTTTAAACAGACCCTCTTCCTCTGCTCTTCTTCTTCTCCCCACCTCCTACCCCCAAAGAACTCTGGGCCTTACAACTTCAAAGGGTTAGGAAGAGGAATGTAATTCTACTTACAGAATAAGAAAGGAAGGTTGGAGTTTATATAGCCTCAATCTCCCAACACACATATACACAGACTGTCTCCTTGTTAGAAAGAGATACTGCACTGATTTCTGGTTGGCCAAGAGCCCAACATGTGTTTTAAAATATAAACTTAAAGCTCAGATGTTGGAAATCCACTACAAAGCTCACTTGTCAGTATATAGAAATCATAAGCCAAATTCTACTAAATTCTGAAAACTAGATTGCATGTTTTAACTTTGCAGGTTTATTCAGTTATGCCCGTGTACAAAGGTGCATAGCAAGTAATTAACTGTGATAATCACATATGACTCTGTATAGTAGACTCATAGGAATACACATTTTGTAAGAATAAAATAAGAAAGCCTGAATGTCTTTATTGCTCCAATCCTCTTCTGTCAAGGGGCATCCTTAATGGTAAACCTGAATGAATATATGCTGTATGTGCTGTGGGTTAGCCATGCTTGTGGGAGGAAGAAACTTGGAACTTGGGCAGAGCCCTCCTGTCATCACCAGTAGAACTCATGTATAATATCTGAACAAGCTAAGATGATGGGTTGAACACAGTAAGATGAAATTTAGTGGGAATAAATGCAAAGTATATTATTTAAGCTTAAAAAATCAACTGCACAAATGCAAGATGTTTTGGGTAGGCAGCAATTCATCTGAAAAAAAGATTTTAGTGAACTGCAAGCTTATAAGTCAATAGTCAAGGCTTCACCTTCCTGATGTCATCAGTCCTCTTTGAGAATGAAGGACAACAATAAATTGGTTACCTGCTTGGCCAGAAGACTATATTAAAACAGAAATGCAGAGGGAAATGGGATTTTAGCTGTCTTCTGAAACACCAAGATTGTTAGCTCTTCCTTGGACTTATTACATGTATGACCTTAGGCAAAACACTTAATTTCTCTGGGCTTCAGTCTCCTCATATATGTAATGGGGATAAATTATATTTGCCAAATTTACCACAAGGTATTAGGTTATACATGTTAGTTAAAATGTATTTAAGTACTTTGTAGCCATAAAGAATAACCTATTTGAAGATGAGTAGCTGTTGACAATAGCAAGGTTCAGATGCATTTAAGGAGAGTGATATCTAACGTTCTAAGGAGCAGTCAATCTGGTAACTTTCTCCTCTTCATAGGGTTGTAAGATCATAGCACTGAAGCTAGAAGGCACCTCAAAGCCCATCCAATTGAACCACCTTCATTTTACAGACAAGGAAGTCAAGTGACTTATCCAAGGTCATACTGGTCAAAAGAATCAGAAACAAGATTTTAAGCCAGGGGCTTTCTGCTGTACCATGCTATGCCCCCATTTTTAGATTATGTAATACTTTAGTATTTCTCTTAAAGGCCTAATTGAGTTTTTGTTTTGTTAGCTTTGCAAAATGTCACTTTCTAACTGTGAGCCCCTGATCATTATTGCACTGTTACATTTCAAGGGTAGCTCAGGTCTCCAGACAAAGTTGGTCCCTTGCTTTTAAAAGTCTCTGGCAAGAGGCTAAGGGGTGTTATTATAGCACAAAGATTATGTTTTCTGAGTTCTTTCTTTAATTTATTATTTTTTAAAACAAACCACTGCATTTGAAATTTAGATGCTCTGGGATTCATTTCTTGTATTTCCAATTCTGCCCCTTCCCCCAAATATTTCTTTTTCAATGGTGTCACTAAGATATGTTGTATGTTTTTTAAGGAGCAGTTCTTGAAATTTAGGAAGCATTTGGCTTACATGTTTCTACAGAACAGCGCATATTGAAATTTGTTTTCCTTTCATCTCCTTCCCAATAAAAGCAGCAGTAAGGCTTATCCCTTTAGCTTTCTCAGAACTTCCTTTCAGAATTCCCGACCTATTACAGCACATTCACATACCAGGAACAAGATGCCTTTTCATGCTGTCAACCTTTTTCATCTGAAATGTAAATTAATTCTTGCTAGTGTGCCTTGACAGAGATCAAAGTAGGGGTATTAACCTTATTGGGCCTTCTCCTCATCAGAATCAGTTCCAAGGACTGGGAGGTTGGTGCTAAGAAGTCTATGTTCCCTGTTATCTGTGGCCCTCCTCCAGGCAGGCCTCTGTCTACAAGTCCACATTTCAAAGGCTCTGATTCCTTTTGTAAATGACCTTATCATTACTTTAAACTGTGTGGAAAAAAAAAATTATTTGCTTGAATAATTCTTGAGGGATTATCCTGCTCATTTTAATTGTGGGCCACTTCATTCAGATTCCTGGATATCATTTAAGTGGTTCTGACAGCAAGGGATCCTACAGTGATAGGAAGCGGGAAACACAACTCCTGATTGGGAACCCCTGACTTGCTAAGATTGTTCATTTCTTGCCTGTCAGTCTTTGAGGTAGGCCACATTTGCATTTTAAAAATAAACAGATGCCTTTCAAATACATGAGCTGGTGGTCTGGAGATCTCTGTGGGCCCAAACAGTTCACCATCCATTGATCAAATGTTGGAAGAAAAAACAAACTGAAAAAAATACCCAATATACATGAGGATACATTTCCTATGTGTATAATGTTACGCCAACAATGAAAGGCTTTTATGAGAGAAAGGAAGGGTGGGGGAGGGGGGATTTGTAAAAGTGTAACATTTTATGAGTTTCAAACTTAAAAAAAAAAGAAGTTTGAATATCACTTTGACCAGAAGCCTCTTGTTTTGCTGTGTACTTATTTCTTAGTACCATGCCACCTTTTTATGGGCCTACCCCTGGAAAAGGAACAAACCAACCCATCTAAACACTAAATAATTTAAAAAACATCCCTGAGCAAGAGAAATCAAAATGTATGTGTGACGTTTTTAGCATTAAAATGTTAGGCGTTGGAGATAAAAGCTGCTAGTTATCCATGGTTCCATTACTGATGGAGCTTTTATTAAAAACCAACAAATTGCAGGACACTGATGATAGATTAGCTATTAAACTGAAAATGCCTATTTTGCTCACTGAATAATAATAAAGCAAGCAGACCAAGAGAGACAAAGAGAGCCTGTTCTTCTGGGCACTTAAAAAATTTTTTTTACACATGCATTGGCATTAAAACTATCCCTATAATTCAATATCTTTTTGAAAAATTAGAGCAGCCAAACTAGGGGGCCTCCCTGATGGGAGGGGAAAGGCTATCTCATAGATAATATCATTAGCCCCCAGGGTTGTGAAGGGAATTTCAAATAACCTTACCCTAGGTTTGTTTCTTCAAGCCCTCCCCATTCTCATCCCAGCCCACTTCTTCCCCCATCATCTCTCTCTCTCTCTCTCTCTCTCTCTCTCTCTCTCTCTCTCTCTCTCTCTCTCTCTCACACACACACACACACACACACACACACACACACACACACACACACACACACACACACACCCTTGGGAAAGTGGAACAGGAAGAGGCAATTGGTTTACAGCACATTCTTATCTAATTGCTTTAGTACTGTGGAAATGTGTTGTTTTCCCTTTCCCCCCTGTCGTCTGATCTTTCCTTTCCCTCTCCCCAACTAAAAACCAGATGTTATCAGAATATAACCCAGGGCATTTTCAATGATGGTTGATTCCCCTTCTGGCCAGCTGGAGTTGAGGGTGCTCTAGGAGACCAAACTAGGTAGGCTCTGCATCAGCCAGAGAGAAGTCTATTTTCTTTTTAACATGGGAGCAAGTGTATGCTATCCAGCCAAATCAGTGGCCCCTTAAACCACCAGTTTAATCTATTGTATATTGTATATATTTGCTACTCACATTTCAGCCAAACTAACCTGTTTGTTTTCCCTTGCACAGCCATGCCCTACCCCATGCCTAGAATGCGATCCATCTTCAACTCCACTCCCCCACAACCCCAAGATTCCATCCAAGCTCAGCTCTAGGGCTACCTCCTAAAGGAAGTCTAGACTGCTCTCCCCAGTTACTAGTGCTCTTCCCCAGAAATTACTTCATATAGATTTTTATTTTTATTTAAATTTAAAAATTTTA